GTATTTGTCACTGCAAAATCAGCGACCTCATTTCCCAAACACCCTTAGGACATGTTATAATGTCTATGATTTCAAATGATCTTGCATTAGTTATATTTTACCCTGGTAACACTCAGGCAGGGGGCTCCTTAATTACACCTGCAGAGGCTGGGAACTGGCAGAGAAGGCGAGCTTAGCCTAAGCCAAGAAACTGCTGATAGGAGCTTTAGGGGGCCGAGAAAGTGTGAAAGGGAAGTTTGGAATTAGTAATTTTTCACAGGAAACAGGGACAAGGGGAAGATGTTTGAACAGTGGATCACTGCAGCCTCCTATCTGAAACCTCTGTTTCCACTTTTGTCCTCATGTGCTCTAGTCAACACCACAGACAGACCCTATTAAACCAGATCAGGTTTAGACACTCTTAATAACTTCCCATTTCCTTCAGAATAAAAGTGGAATTCCTAACAGTGAGCGAAGGCCATGCATGGTCTGGCCTGTTACTTCCCTGGCCTGGATGCCTGTCTTCAGTCAGGGAATTCCTGCCTCAGTGACCCTCTTACTGGGTCTAACACATCTGCAAGGTCTGATCTCAGGGCCTTTGCATTTGCTGATCCCTTTGCCTGGAGGTTCTTTTCCCAAATATTTACTTAGCCAGCTCCCTCCAGTCTTTTAAAGTCTTCACTCACATTTCACTCCAGGGAATCTCTGCTCTGCCAAAGAGGCACTTTCATATTTTTTCATTGTTTTATTTTTCCCATGGCACTTAGCACATCTTTTAAAAATGTAACTAATTAGTTCATTAACTTCATGTGCTCGCTTATTTATATAAACAAAAATGTAAGCCGCAGGAGAGGAGGGATTTTTATCTTTGTTCATAGCTCTATTCACTCAAAAACATAAGTGCTCAATGAATGCTGGCTACATGAATGAAGTGACTTGGGATCTTAAATTCACAGACCCCTGACTATGCTGTAGGATGAAATCTGGATTTGAAGTTGAACATTTCAGAGTGCGTTAGAAACTATCTTCTGCTAAAACTTCGCTGTGCATGCTGGGTTGAATTAAATTATGACCAATCTCAACCTTCTAGATTTTTATTTCTTTTAAAAAAATCCTCTCTTTAACCTTCCTTTATATTTTTAAAAATGCAATGGTTAATAATGCTAGTTAGTGTTTTATAATCTCAGCTCTATTAACATTTCAAGTGAAATAATTCCTTGTGGGTTTTTTGTTTGCTTTTGTTTTTTGTTTTTTTTTTGGTGGAGAGTCTGTCCTTTATATTTAGGATGTTTAGTAACATCCCTGGCCTAGATGCCAGATACGACCCTCTCCCCAAGCTGTGACAACCAAAACTGCCTCCAGTCCTTGTCAGATGTCCCCTGGATGGCAAAATTGCTCCTGGGTGAGAACTACTGATGTAAATAATTTTCATATGATCCTATTTGAATAAAGGGATATATATATGTATACACACACACATATATGTTTTGATTGATTTCAGAGAGAGGAAGGGAGAGGGAGAGAGAGANATGTGTATACACACACACATATATGTCTTTATTGATTTCAGAGAGAGGAAGGGAGAGGGAGAGAGAGAAACATCAATGATGAGAGAGTCATTGATCTGCTGCCCCCTGCATGCCCTCCCCCCCCCTCCAGGAATCGATCCCACAACCGGGGCATGTGCCCTGACCTGGAATCGAACCATGACCCCCTGGACCACGGAGGGACGCCGGCTGGGCAAGGGTTCTATTTCTGACATAGCATGAGTAATGGAGCGGAGATCATGGGGATATCNAATGGAGCAGAGATCATGGGGATCTCACGCTTGCTTTATCAACCTGATAAGTAAGCACCATAATAACTGGTAGCAACATGTCACATTTGTGGACCTTAAGATAAAGTTTAGGAAGGAAGCGAGAATGGATAGCGCCTTGTTTAAGGTCCCTGTGGACTGACGGTGAACGTTGGGAAGCCTCTTTCAGTAAAGGGCCTGGGAAAAGTAAGCATAAAAAATGATAATATGCATTCCTCCACAATTTATACGGGGAAAATCAGATTAAAACAACATTGCTTTGCTTCACTGGGTAAATAAAATCACAAAAGAGAAACAGGCTACCTGAAGTCTGTGTGTCGAAGGCAGACAGTTCTTTATTCATTTATTTCATTTGAGGAGCGTACATGGCAAGTGTAAAGAGTGCAGACTGAAGATGTGGAAGTGAAATCCTGATGTCTCTTCTTTTGAAAAAACAAAACCCCCCAAAACCAAAGATTGATTGACTGATTGACTGATTGAGTTAAAGCCCTACTTGTAGAAACATGTCTTTGTCCCCACCTGGCACCTCCACGGGACCATTTGTCTACATTTCCCTCAACATAAGAGTCCAGAGTCCCTAAGAAGTATTTGCTACAAATCTATTTCTGGTTTTTGTGGGGTTTTTTTTTGGATTTAGGTATAGTTCTAAGTCAATGTAAATTTTAAGGATTATATAAGGCACTTAAAAGACAATGTTCAAATTGAATTGAAGGGATGCAACCTCAGGTTTTTGGGAAATGGAAGTATATTTTGCAATCACTTTTGGGGTGGACGCCATCAAATGATAAGCTGAGAGAAAGTAAAAGGAGCAAGACCATGAATGAGAAAGAACTGAGAAGTGGCCGAGAATCTCAAAATTTCACTTTTGAGAACGTCTGGGGTAAATTTATTTTTATACTGAATCATTTTACACAATACTTTTATCTCGTCTATATCATAAATATTCATCTGTGCTAAACCATCCTAGAGATATTACCTTAGCAGCTTTCATTTGAACACAATGGACTTTCCAGAAAGCCATGAAGCCCGGCCTCCGAGCTTTCCAATCCCTGGGATTTGAACCACATTGATGAATCCCCTAAATTCTTGGGTGTCAAAGGCATGCCACTAAATAGGTCAGGAAAGGCGCCAAGGAAGCCAAAAAAGGAAAGAGCCCCCTAAAGGAAGATGGCGTTTAATTGGGAAAGCTCAGACATCTGTCACTCTCAGTGACAAGCGCGGAGAAAGGACCTCGCACATTTTGCAGAAGGAGCCCCGGCTGCAGGTAAAGGCGCGGTGCGTAGGCCGGGCCTCCGGGCTGGGCAGGATCCAGGGGCTGGTTTTGAAGGCGCTGCTTTTTCATTCTGAATATTATTAAAACACACACACAAAACTGGGGCCAGAACCGTAACCTAAGCTGCCCTCCGTGCCCCACTTAAGATGTCCTCGTTGGTGAGCCGGGGTGCGCGGCCACCTGGAGAACAGGTCGCGCGTAAAGTTGGGAAAAGAAACACTGCGCGCGTCTCCGCGCCCCAAACAAAGCCGCGCCCCACCTCGGGCCTGCCGGGTCGGGTCG